ATGCATGAACAGGACTGCCCCTTGTATGCCCTGCCCGATGTCAACACGGAATGTGCCAGGGGCGTACTCCGGCTTAACTTCGCCGGGACAACGTGCCGGGGATGGTCCAAAGCTGGGAAGATGCGATACTTCAGTGACCCAAGCGAGCGCCCACACGCAGTGTGGTTGTGCGATCGGGTTCGTGAATCTCAGAGGTCGGCTTTCCCTGAAGACCTCTTCTTCAGCGAGTGCACAAGCACATACCCGGCCCAGGACAGCCAGCCGACTGTGAAGGTTGTCTCTCTCTCTCTCTCTCTCTCTCTCTCTCTCTTTCTTTCTCTCTCCTCTCTCCGAGGATCCCCGGTAAGTGGAAGCAGCCCCCCCCCGCGAGAAACGAGCATCGTGAGCATCAGCCGGGTTTGGGGCCTACCCTCCCCTCCCCTCCTTTCCCCAAATTTGGGCAAAATTTCGGCGTTCTTTTAAACAAATAAAAGAACACAAAAGAACACGTAAAAGAACACGCCCAATGGCCGAGCATCATGAGCATCATGCCCCCCCCCCCGCCCCCCCGCCCCCAACACCAAATTTCGGCCAAATTTCGGCGTTCTTTTAAACAAATAAAAGAACACAAAAGAACACGTAAAAGAACACGCCCAATGGCCGAGCATCATGAGCATCATGCCCCCCCCCCCCGCCCCCCGCCCCCAACAACCTCTCTGTGTGTGCGTGTGTCAGGAGAAACTTCGAGTACCGTTGGCCGAGACACACGAAGTCCTGAGCATCACGGCATGCCCTCAGATGTTGGGGTGGCCGGTTCGGAGGACTCGAGTGTTCAGTGCTGGAGTGAACCGTAGCTCCATGGTTTGGCTGGGTCCAACTGACCCAGATGAGCTTCAGCGTCATTTTGAGAGTTTCTTCAAATGCACCATGAATGTCACCGCAGATTGCTTCCTGGTGGCCAGTGATTCAGAGATCCATGCGGAACAGCGGCGTTTGGCAAAGTTGCGTGGTCACTGTGTTTCTGCAGATTCGAGTGCTGTTCTTATGCCCAAACACCAAGTCTATGCTCCGGGCCAGCTTCTGCGATTTCAAGGGTATGATGAGAAGCGGCCGACAGGGTCGTCCACATGGTTTGCAGATTTGGAGCAGGCCCCTGGACGAGGGGCGAGCACACCGGGGGTTATTTTACCTTCGATGTTGACCCACGGGACCATACATGCATGGACCCCTGACAGGGTCGTGACTTCTCCGGAACTGTTTTTGGGGCACGGATTTAACTTCTATCCGTCTGCAACTGAATGCGAGTCCACGTGTGCAATTGCTCCTTTCTTGCGCAAGCTCCCCGTGAAAGATCAAAAGGTCTTTCTCGGGAACGGATGGCATTTGCCGACCATGGCCACATGGGTCTTCTACGTACTTTGTCACTGTTGCAAGATCGACAGAGGCCAGGGTTTCAACATCCAGGCCGAGAAAAATTTTCTGCAGCGAGGTGGCACAAGCATGCTCGATGATGATGAAGAAGAGCATGAAGAGGGCCATGCTTCAGGCTCCGAAATGGATGTCATGAGTGTTATGGATGAATAGGCAGCTCAGTCAGGACGCGGCAAGTGGCAAGTGCCGTAGAGCCGTAGCGGTCTGCATTTTGTTTGCTGTTTCGGGGAAAAGCGGAACATGCAGTAGCTGGGCATGCTGTGTTGCTGATATGTGTGATGGTCAGTAGGAGTGCCAGTCGGTGCAATCAGCTGAGGGCAGAGCTTGATTCATATCTCTTCATGTCTGCTGTTTTAAAAGCCTTTTGTAAGCCTGTGTGCTGCTGCAGCTGCTGTAACTTTGCGGCGTCATGTTGAGCGGCTTCGGCGACGATCCTTTCGCTGCAGAGCCATTGACGGGCTCTGGAGGCGTTCCTGATGGTGCGAAGCCCCCGGCCTCAAAAGCTCCCTCAAAGCGCAAGAGGGAAGCGGGCTCCAGAGGTGTGAAGCAAGCGGAGGCAGGCAAGACATGCTTTGTCAAGTCTTGTGAGGACGACAAGTTGGTGGGCAAAAAATGGTGTTGCCGCCACAACCGCTTGTATGACAACCTTTGGACCCAAGCCAAGAAAAGCAACGAGACAGCAGCTGTACAGCAGGCCATGAGCACCCCAGAAGGTGCCGATCATGCGTTGAGTGACTTTGAGCGCGACAACCCGCCGCATGCCAAGTATGCGAGGAAATCCATCATTCAGTGGGGACAGTTCAAGCGAGTCCATGTGGTCTCGCAGTGCACCCGCACCCGCAACGGTTGCAAGCCGTACGAGTGGAAGCAATGGTTGAAACGATGCGAGCAGAAGATGGGATGGGCGGCAGCAGATGCCAAAAGATTGTGGAACCAGTACACGCAGGAGATTGACAAAGACCATGAGGGGTTGAACGGTGCCATCAGATTGTGGATTCCCACCATCGAAGCCACACACAACGACACCGACCGGTCGCGGACCTTCGCCTTTGAGGAAGGTGGA